GGTCTAGTATTAAGTTACGAGTTGTATTTTTTCAATCTTGGCGTCTCACGTTGATTTCATGAAACATGTGGATTGATGGATATACCTTCGGTTTAAGGAGAATTCTATTTCTTGGGTTAACTTAAGTTATATTTATTTCCTGCTCAAGTTCATTATTGAATTGTTTCGTTTATAGATTGAAATTAATGGTCAAAAAAGCTTTCACATTTTTCTTCAGTTCTTTTAAGAATTGTGTTAGTAGTAGTAGTAGTAGTAGTAGTAGAAGAAGAAGAAGAAGAAGAAGAAGAAGAGGGAGGACGAATTAGGGAGGAGGAGGAATGTGAGCAGCAGCAGCAGCAGCAGCAGCAGCAGCAGCAGCTTGAGGTGTTCCTACCTATAACAACCAGAGCAAGCTGACCCCCTCCCCCTATTTTTAAATTTGTAGCTCGAACGGGCCTGTATTTGTTAAAAATTTGGGTGGTAGGCCAATGGCGTCAGTCCAACAAACCTTTTACATCCCTCAAGGAGCAGTATAGTGTTGCAGTAGCAATAGATCTACATCGAATTCACGCTGCAAGTCGGATTATTTTTATTAAGTCAGGAAGGACTAACCAGATTTTCCTTCAAAGGAATAAGTATAAGTTATAATTTTGGCACAACCTGGGTAGATCTATAAAACTAAACGGGCCTTGATCTGGTCACTCAGAAACCAAAAACGTTGTACGTAGATCTACTTCATAGGCCAAGGCCTAAGATTTATATCAATAATGTCTAAGCTATCCCGCACGCCACACACGCCGCTCCCACATGCTATCCGTTTCTTGGAAGTGAATCTTAAAATAGACCGACTTGAAATTCCTTAACTTGGCCAAGTTGCAAGACAGCGGACTTTGTCCTTATATTATAATCAAACACGGGTAAATCTATTAATTCTTTCTTCTTGATACGTTAGTTCATTGTGCGCCCTCAAGGGTTACTCTGTTAATTTCTGACGTAGTGTATAGAGGGAGAAAATTTTAAAACGTGTTTAGAATCTGCTTCTTTCTCTACAGGATCGTAAAGACAACATCAAGGAAAGTCTCTCTCTCTCTCTCTCTCTCTCTCTCTAT